TATTTTTAGTTATTTTTTTATATTTTTATTTATTTTTTTTATATTATTATTTATTATTTATAATTTTATTATATTTTATTTTTAATATCTACATTTTGTTTATTTGAGAAAATTTCAATATTTTTTGATTATCTTACAATCTGTGTATATAATTTTCAAAATGTTAAAAATATTTTTTTAGAAAATTCCTCAAAATTTTGCTCTTATCTTCCCATCAATTAGCTCACCCACTCCATACAGTATGAAGCTTCCAGACGCGATCTCTCACTACTTTTGAAACAAGTACCTTTCGCCATACGTGAACAGTGCGGACCGAAATTAGCATCACTATTGCGTTACTCCGTTATCTATGATCAACGTGATAATCCAGTTTTCCCCACGCAAGGCCTTATGGTGAAATCGGTTAATGAATATTGTGGTTTGGGTGGCAATGTTGCCTATATGAGTAATACAACACATGCTGAGATAAGTATACCGTTAGTTGCGGGTCTAGTAGCGCAAATTTGTGGACGTGTTGGTATTATAAAAGAGACGAAAAATACCACTTTACTACCTATTAGCAATTTATACTATTGTGGTGGTCCATTGACTTTGCGTGGCTTCAAATATGGTGGCGCTGGCCCGATGGTAGAGGGTACATCGATTGGTGCACAGGTGAGGGGTTTTAAAAAATATTGAATGTTCAAGTAAAATCCGTATTTAACGCTGTAATGTATATTATTTTTAGACTCACTGGGCTACTGGCTTTCATCTCTGGGGTCCATTGCCATTCAATCATGTATTCAAGGGTTTGGCTAATAATTTCCGTACACATTTATTCTATAATTGTGGCGGTTTCAATTCGTTTTCGACGGGTAAGCATTAAAATATATTAATAAAATTAAATTTTTACCAAATTTTTTTTTTATCTTTACAGAAAATATGCGCAGCGCTCTTGGTGTTGGCTTGGCATTTAAATTGGCCGAACGTGCACGCATCGAAATGAATTATTGTATACCCGTACGAAAATATGCGACCGACAAGCCAGTGAATGGTTTTCAATTTGGTATTGGCTATGAATTTGTCTAAAAAAAAACAAATTTTGTTTGCATTCGTTGGGAACTTGATGAATTGGTGGCTGCGCTGAAGGCGCTTTAGCGTGTTTGTATGAGTCGTAGTAGTAGTAGTGGTGCGGCGAGTGAATTCCCAATGTGAAGAATACCCAAACTAATATGCTCTCAACCACATGTACACACATACATATACTACATAAAGAGCAGCAACTCTGTTGTCATCATTGCATTCAAATCATTTTCACTTTGTCGTTTATATTATCGCTGCTGTTATTATTAGTTTTTCTTGTTGTCAAAGACATTAATTGTTTAATGTTCATTATTATTATTATTATTATGGTAATTGTAAGTTAAATATTAAATCAGCCAGACAAGTCACACATGCATACAGATAGGCATGTGCATGTGAAAGAAGGCAAGGCAAAGCAAAGCGATGCTAATAAAATACATACAAATATATATGCAAAATACTTAAAGCGAATACAAATGAACTTAAAAATTACAAATATGCGAAAAATATATAAGCAGATATGTTAAAATAATAGATATAAATATAAAAAAAAATTAAAAAAGAAAATAAACAAAAAAAAAATGTATCGAATGAATACATACATAGCAAAATGACCTGTTTTTTACATTTAATTAAAAATTTAAATAGTTTTTAATGCATGACAGATAACACTGAGCAATGTAATTGCTAAAATTATACTAAATAATCTAAAATATGTAGCTAGTTGTTTATCATTATTATTAATACTTTTTTTTTTGTGCAATCTGCTATTAGCAAAACTCAACTATTAACAATAAATCAAATGAACAATCTGAACGCCAAACGAAAAATAAAAACAAAATAAAACGAACGAGCCGGAATAAAACCAGCATCAATCAATCAAACGAAGACCATCAAACTACAAAATAAATTAAAAATATCTTCTACTTTATTAGAAAACACAGAGAGAGTGCACAAAATCGAAGTTGACTCCCGCTAAGCATGACAGGAAATACACATAAAGTGAAGTAGGTCAGCGGGATTTTTCTTTATTTTTTTTTCAATTAAACAAATTAGCGTTTATTTACATAAACGTGATCGCAACAAAAATAAAACACATCAAAGTCAATTGTATAGTGTGCTCCAGTTATACCAGCAAAAGACTAAAAAGCTTTGGATGGGGTATTTGAAAAAAAAAAAATTAAATAAAATTCAACAAAGCGAAGCTATTTTAGAACCTTAATAGCGTGCGTTCAATCAAAATTAAAGCCTTTTAGTGTTAGAACTGTTTGTTTTTGTGCTTTATTTTCTGTACAAAAGTACAAATACAACAATTGGCTAACGATATTTTTATAGCGTTTAAAATTCGAATTTTCTATTATTTTTTATATTATTTAATTTTTTCCTACCTTAATATTCTCAATATTTTCCTAATCGCTAGATTAAAATATATTTAATTTGATTTTAATTTATGCATTTTTTAAGCAACTGTGTAATTTTTTTTTATGCCTTTCCTTTTACTCAATTTAGTTTATTTTATTTATTGATAAAAAATATTTTCAATTTAATTTTTGTAGTATTTTCTAAATTTTATTTTATTTTTATTTTTTTTTTATTTTATTTTTAATTTAATTTTCTATTTAAAATTTTAATTTTCATATATTTAAATAGTTAAATTTAATTTTCAATTTTTTTGTTATTTTTCATTTTAATTTATTTTATTCATTATTATTGTTATTATTATTATTTTTTATTTTTATTATTATTAATTTTTATTTTTATTATTATATTTTATTTTTATTATTATTTTTTATTTTTATTATTATTTTTTATTTTTATTATTATTATTTTTTATTTTTATTATTATTTTTTATTTTTATTATTATTATTTTTTATTTTTATTATTATTATTTTTTATTTTTATTATTTTTTTTTATTTTCATTATTTTTTTTTATTTTTATTATTTTTTTTTATTAATAATTTATATTATTATTTTTTTTTGTAACTTTTATTATTATTTTTTTTATTTTTATTACTTTATTATTTTTTTTATTTTTATTACTTTATTATTATTTTTATTTTTATTACTTTATTATAATTTTTCTTTTTATCACTTTTCTATTATTTTCCTTTAATTTTTTTAATAGTTTTACAATCAATTTCTTCACACAAAAAGAAAAGGACTACTACATACATGGTTTGAAAATAAATTGCTTTAGTTTTTAATTGTCTTTAAAAAAAAATTAAATAACTTTAAGCAAATTTATTTTTTTAGAACAAAAACGCTTTGCGAATTAATGAACTGCCTGGCAGCTCCTTTACACTCTCTGTGCATCGTAGTAAAAGCTATTTGAAGTACTTAAATACACTTACATTTGCTTTCCAATTACTTTCATATGTACAAATAGATATTAATATTTAACATATTTTATTTTCATAATTTATTTATTTATTTTTTTATCGCTACTGCCTTTATTGCCTTTACAGCGTTAGTTAGTAAATAGTTCTAAGCTTTATTTAAATTTTCTTGTTTATTTGAAGTCTTTTGTATATTACTGCATACTACCACAAATTACGTAGCTTAACCTTATTCAGTTTCCTATAAAATGTATTAAATATGAAAAATAAATAAATAAATAAAATTTAAATAAAAATTCTGTAATGTCTCATATCACTAGATAATAAAAAAAATTGTCATTCCCGCTAGTGGGGTCTACAGCTTGGAAATTATTGCTGAGATCCCGTGGAGTGAAATAGGAATATTTTTTATAGCCCCGTTGTGTGATGGAAAACGCATTTGAACCAGCAACTTTTCCGTTGGTACAGCAATAGGGGCAAACATAGCATAAATTAGGTTCTTATAAATAAATTTCAAGTCACGCGTTTACAACCGCTGAGAGATTCGAACTTGCGACTAAACAAACAAGCAACCAAACGCACAACACAAAATCGCCATCAGCTAAACACACTCGGCTAACAAAGCAATTGCCTACAAACTGACAAATGCCTCACTCCAAAGCTAGTAATGTGTTTTGATGGCTCATTCACAATAATGTAATAACAGGGTGTGTGTGAAGTGCACGGCAAAAATAAAATAAAACAATTAAAAAAATTAACAAATCAAAAACAAAAAATTGATAAATTTTTTTTTAGAAAAATAAGATAATTGAAATAAATAAAAACATTTTTAGAAAAATTAAATAATTGAACAATAAATAAAAAAATTAAATTTGAAATAAAAAATAGAAATTAAATAAAAAAATTAAAAATATAATAAAAGAACAAATAAAAAATATAAAAAAAATATAAAAAAATATAAAAAATAATAATTAAAGTATTGAAAAAAGGGCATAACTTAAAAAAATATAAGAAAAATAAAAATTAATAACTAAAAAATTATAAAAATAACTAATTAAAAAAATAACAAAATTTAAATTAAAAGAAATTACAAATAAAAAAATATTGTTTTAAATAAAAATTTAATAAAAAAAAGTAATTGAAATATGTATAAAAATTGTAGCTTAAATAATTATTATTGATTTTAAATAAAAAATGTAATTAAAAACGAATAAAAATAAATTAAAAATGCAATACATACATATATTAAAAACATAAATAAGTATAATTATAATAAATAAAAAAATGTAAGTAGAATTAAAAAATAAAAAGGACTTATAGCTAAAAAACAAAATTAATTTTAATTAAAAATTACCAAAAAAAAAACAAATTATTGAAAGAAAACAAAGTAAATTAAAGTAAAAACTAGAAATACAATAATTAAAGGAATTTAACAAATCAAAAACAAAAATTATATGAAAAATATTATTAAAAAAAAACAAAAAAAATAAAATTACTTTTTACTAAAAAGCAAAATATTATGGTTAAAAATATAATAATAATTTAACAAAAAAAAAAAAATAAAAATAAAAAACAGTTTCACTAAAAAGTTCATTTAAAATAAAACATATTTAAGAAATATATAAAATTTAAATTAATTTTGCTTCAGAAAGAAAAAGGTTTACTTAAAAAAATAAGTTTTAATTAGAAAAATATTAATTACTAAAAAAAAATGAAACAAAATAATTAAGAAATAGAATATATGTAATTAAAAATATAAAAACGTATAATTATATAAAAAATATTAATTATATGAAAAATATTAATTATGTGAAAAATGACAATTATAGTGACAAAAAAAAAAACAAATAATTTTATTAAAAAAAATTGATAATCTTATTTAAAAATAATTAAAAATGATAACTAAAAATATAAATATATATATTACAAAAAATATGAATAAAAAATTTAAATGGTAATTATAAATAATAATAAATATTAATTAAAAATAAATAAATTAATAATAGCAATAGTTAAATATTAATAAAACGGAAATAAAAAAATAATGAAAATAAAAAATCGTAATAAAATATAAATATCAATATTAAAATGAAAATAATAATTTTAAGAGTAATATATTACCACCTTGAACAAATATTTATTCAAAATTGTATATTTAAATCAATTAATTAAAAGTGTAATTAAAGTGAGAAGCTTTGCATCAGCTAATAATTTATTATGTACTTCGACGTATATACCTACATACACACATTTTCATGATTAAATAATACAATATTATTTCACGGAAATTCACAAGGCCTATTTTCGTTAATAATTCAATAATCCATCTATCAAAATATCTACTCAATTTATTTGCATTGGACGTAGAGAGTAAAAATAGTTTAGGCTTGGCACAAAATACATACATATACGAGTATGTAAGCAGCACGAGTAAACAAATAAAAATTACGGACCAATTCAATTGATTGCCAAGCGGAAAGAGGAAGCATACTTACAAGTAAAAAACGAAATGTCATAATATCGTAGCTAGCTGAGATGAAGTATTGTTAGTGCAAATATGTCATTATTACATAAATGAAAGTATAATGAACACATATGTGCGTATGTGCATATGTAGATCTCTGCATATGTCGGTATTGCGTAAAGTGGCTGTCAATATGAAAGGTAGTTTACTTTAGCTTAGACGTTGTGGGAGTTGGCCATGTCAGAAGAAGCAATTTCGATATTAAAAATATAATAAATGTAAAGAAAAAATGGAACGATTGAAAAAAAATTTAAAATAAAAAATTTAAAAGAGAACGAAAAATATACTAAAATAAGATAAATTATAATATGAACAGCTAAAAATATGTATATAAAATGAAAAAATAAATAAATATAATTAATTATAATAAAAAAGAAACAAATGAAATTAAGTAAAATAGAGTAGAGTAAAATAATTAAATTATATTAAATAAAATATAATAAAATGAGAGAAAAACCAGTAGTTTAATTTAAATAAAACAAAAAAGTAAAATAAAACATTCACATTTAAATAAGCAATAAAAAAAACCAATTAAAATGATGTACAATAAATAAAAAAATATATAAAAAAAATTAAAAAAAATAATAATAAAACAAGTCCATGTGTAATCGATGGAATCGATCATTGGCCATCCATAACCTAACCTAACATATGTACACTGAGCGCTTAATTTTTTTTTT